TAATTTTGTCAAAATATATACAAACTGTAACTTTTACATTTTTATGTTTTAACATTTGTACCAATCAACCCAATTAAACTCATTTAAAAAGTCTCACTAAACACGTGTACATAAATAAGCACAGCATTTGATAAATGATGGTAATCTAATGTTTATATTTTTACAAACGAACAATGAATTTTTCATTAAGCGAAATGTGTTTTGGCAAGAAATATTTGATTGTTTACTTTTTATAATAAAATGAGATTTTAGTTAATTTATGTAACTTTATGTTTATTAATTAACAAATTCTATTTTTTTATAACAAATTACTTACGTTTTTTTTGTCAAATAAAACTATTTTTGTTATTATGTTTCATTAAAAAAAAACAAACAAACTAGATTTTCAACATCAAAAAAAAGGAAATGTTTGTTCTTTTATAAAAAACCAAAATATTTTTTGAGAAAGATTTTTTAAAAATTAGAATGGAGTTCCATATAATTGTGCATGCAAATAAAATTTTCATTTAAAGTATTTTGTGGCGTTTTAGTTAAAATAGATATTGCATTATCTTAACTTCTTGTTATATAGTTAGTTAACACAGTGTTATGTATGTAGGTATTATGTAAGTATCTTATAAACAAGTTTAACTTTATTGGGATCATTAAATGGGGATAATTTTTCATTATGCATCTATTTATATAGTCTATTTTTACACAAATTAAAAAAAAAAAAATAGATTATGGTATATATATATATATATATATATATATATATATATATATATATATATATATATATATATATATATATATATATATATATATATATGTATATATATATATATATATATATATATATATATATATATATATATATATATATATATATATATATATATATTTATTTTAATTCACCTCCTCAAGGCCGAGAAGGCCACTACAGACGAGGAGGCTACTTATTTGTGGCTATAACCCTCTCTCAACTCTATAACTCCGAAACACGAACCATGACAAACAAGGCCGCTGCGCGGAGAAACGAGTTGAGTGCGGTACTACCAGGAACGTGGTGGGGATCGGAAATTGGAGTTAAAACAGATGAAAATGGAAATGTCAATGCAATATTTTGCAAAATATGCAAAGAGTATTACTTTGACGATGATAACGGAAAAGCAACACTAATGAAATTTAAGGGAGTTATAAAAAATGTTGTATCTAATTGGATTAAAGGTTCGTCTAAAATGTCATTGATCCATTAAATAACTTAAATCATACATACTTTAGTATTTTATGTGACAGATTTTCATCTTCAAAGACATGCGATGAAAAAGAGCTATACTTAATAAAAACTTGTCAAAACAGCATGCCAAAATTTGATGTACTTTTGTTGCAAGAGCCAGTTGACACAGATGCTAAAGGCCTTCGCATAGCAATGAAAAAAGCATTTCACAGTGCTCAGTTTTCTTTTCCCAGAAATCACTGTTTAATTGACATCAGTGCAGATAGGGCCACTGTTAATAAAAGCTTTGTAAAATTGGAGACACAAGAAGTTGGTCAACACCTGTTATTTACTTGGTGTTTGTTGCACAAATTAGAAATTGCTTTAAAAGAAGCGTTAAGTGGCGGGAAACTTGAAAAAGATGCACACAATCAGTTAGTGTCAGAATATATACTGTTTAAAAAAGCCACTTTGAAGTGGAGACTGTTTAAACACTACGCAGACTTTACTGAGCCCAAATTATTTAGATACAAATGCCCAGATGGAACCAGATGGATTAGTCATCAGGTAATAGCTATTAACACTCATTTGCGGAACCTTCCTGTTTTATTGATGTTTGCTAATGAACAATTAGAAAATCCATACAATCCAATAATAAAAAAAGATCAATCAAGAATTGAAGGTATTCCAAAGGAAGCATCAGATATGAAAATACTAGTTTATCAAGCCTTACAATGGGATATCTTATACTGTTCCGTTATCTCTTATATTTGAAAAAATGTCTTTGCTAGTACCAGAAACTGTTACAGCTATTGAGACATGTCTAAAATGTGTTCAAAAAATATGTGATTTAGTTGAAGAAAATGGAGTTTTAGCATTTAAACGAGGAGATCTTTTTCCTACACTAAATATCGAAGTTCTTCCTTATCTTAAATTTTCTGAAAAAAACATTGCGTTTCTAAACGAAAAAATGCTTTGAAACAAAAATTTTAAAGATAAAGATGCTAGTAATAAACTGACAACTTTTTATGGATATGCAATGTGCAGAAGTAGTTTGGAATTGTGTTTAAATGAAGTCTTGACCACACATTCCCAAATATGTAAAAATAAAGTTATGCTTGAAACAGTGTCTTGATGAATTTCTTCATAATAAAGTGTATTTGGCAAGTGCGATGCTTCTTGATACCCGAGTTGCAGAACTTGTGCAGATTTAATATCCGCTGTTATGATATTAGTACAAGTCTCTGTTAGAAGATTAGATAAAAGATTAGATTAGATAAAAATAACTTTAAAGAATATCGACTAGGTATATAAATTTTGTTCACGTTCTGATCTCTTTTATTTATTGCTTTTCATTTTGATTACATGATTAGCCAAGTATTTTTGCTATTTTTTTATTTAGCCATAGAAATCGAAACTGCCCATTTTCATATATGTTGTTTTCTAAACTCATGCACACCCAACAAGTGTTGGGTATTCGTGTTGCAACTAGTGGAAAAGCTAAATATAAATAATTTTCTGCATATTATAGAGATATACATTGTCATACCTATTTTAAACGCAGAGGTTAATTTTAGTCTTATGTATTACTTTTAGCTAGTAAACTAAAACATGCAAAAAAAATACGTTTAAACTTATATATTATTTATAGGCTGAACGTGTTTTTTCTTCATTTGCTGGAATTTTAAGTAAAAACAGAAAAAAGTTATGCAATAAAACTGTCGAAGCATTGCTGCAGTTAAGAAATTATGATAAGGTGCTCTCAAATGAAGAATATGAACACGCAATGGAGTCTTTTTTGGCAGAACACCCTGATGATGAAATAAGAACAAGAAAACGTTGTGTTAGCGGTTATGCTTCTAACAACAACATTAAGAAAAGGAAAAACGCAAGGAAAGGGTTACCCTTAAACCTTGAGTCTTTTGTATATAATGCTGAACGTGCCTTATATACGTATATATATTAGGGCTGTACCGGATTTAATTTTTTCAAATCCGGCCGGAGCCGGATTTGCCGGATTTTTACTAACAGATCCGGCCATAATTGGAGCCGAAGCCGGATTTCGAAGCAAAACTACAGGAACCAAAATCCTGTATATCCCTACTTGGTGTTGAAAATGGTCAACAATGTTGACTATTTAGATCACCAAGTGACAGTTCCAGACGGGCATTTCTTTTTAAAAGTTACGATCTAAATGTATTTTAAATGTCTTTTAAACGTCTTTTAAACATTAATGTTTAAAAGACGTTTAAAAGACATTTAAAACACATTCAGAACGTAACTTTAAAAAAAAAATGCCCGTCGGGTTGTTTTCTATTAAACATCATTTTTGTTGTTTAAAAGTTTTATAGCAATTTCTATAGAAATTAATAGACATTTTATATAAATTTTATAGAGTTTCTTTAGGCCATATGTTTCAAAAATTTAGAGAAATTCTACAGAACTTTTTTTCCCGGGATGTTGTCACTCCGCCACTGTAGTGAATCAGCGTGTCTATATATTTCTGATTCTTCCAGATATTGGCATAGCTGAGTGTCAATGCCTGTTGGTAATTGTTGTTCATGTGCCACAAGCGGGCATAGACTGAATAATTTCATCTATATATATTGCCATTGTAATAATGATTATGTATAAGAATTATCCAGCCGGGATTGTTTTGCTGGATTTTCTTTATTTTTTCAATCTAAAAAGGTTTCTCCTCAATGCGTTTGAAACGCTTAGTTGATTAGGATTGACTTCATAGTCTTTACACCTGCATTATTGCAGAATATCGTGTGTCTTCTCTTCAGAATTTTTTGTTGCGTTCTTGTTTGAAATTAGGCTTAGCTAATTAAATTGTAAAAAAATGTAAATACAGATACCAAAACAAACATGAAGTTCAAAAATTAAGTATTATATATACATGTTATCACGAGTAAGAAAGATGTAATAAACATCCAGAAATCCGGCCAAAATTATGCCAGATTTGCTAACATTTTGCCGGAGCCGGATTTGGGCCGGATTTGTAAAAATGGCCGGATTTCGGCCGGAGCAGGAGCCGAAATTCGGTACAGCCCTAATATATATGTTTATATATATATATATATTTAAATATATATATATATAATGTCAAACATATCATATATATATTTATGTATATGTAATATATATATATATATATATATATATATATATATATATATATATATATATATATATATATATATATATATATATATATATATATCATCAGCTGACAAAAAACTTAATTGCATAATATACTGCAATACTTTTTAAAAGTTTTTGCAAAAATTTGCAAAAAAAAATTAAAGTTAAAAAAGAGCATCGATTTAAACGAGAAGCAGCTCGCACAGCTCTTTAAATTTGTTTTTGGAGAGCTATTCTCCACTCTCGTGCTCATTTATTTATCATCAGCTAAGAACCAAGAGTCTTTATGTCCAGTTTTTGTGTTTCTGAGAAAATTAAGTTTTAGTTTTTATTTTATACTGATTATATTAATATTTTCTAAAGTTCTGTTGTTTTTGTGACCAGACATCAGTGGTCAAACATTCCACTAGTTGAAAAATATTTATTTGTAATATATAGAGAAAACACAAAATGTAGACAAGCAGCCTCTTGGTTCTAAGATATGACACATTGTGAAGTAATTAAACACATTTTAAAATATAATATGAAATACAAATATAGAGAAATATTGAAAAATAACAAAAGACTTACATTTTTTACCTCATCAGGTCTTCTGTTTGTGCATTATTTTATTAAAGTCTTTTGTTATTTATTTTTTCTTGATTTTTTTTATTAGTTTGGTTGAAAATATAGATGAATTAAATAATTTAGAGTTTGAGGTAAGATAAATGTTTGTTTTGTTGTGTCATGAATTTTTTTTCTTTTTTGTCTGAAAAAGTGTCTCTCTATTAGTGTATGTATTTTTAAAAATCAAATGATCAGAATGTATAACTACCAACCTGCATTCTATTCTAATTAATTTTTTTGAATTTCATTCTATACTTTGCTACACAATCGTTTTATATCTGATGGTATTAGTTTTAAAATATTTCAGTTTTAAAAAGAAATTGTTGTTTTGTTTAATTATTATTTAATTTCAATTTTGAAGTTTCAATATTAGTGATTATGTCTATATAAGGAATATTCTTCCTATTTGATGCTCAAACATACCAGCTAGAAAGCAAAATTTTATATACTATGTTAGCACTTACAGTTTCCATCAAAATGTTACAAAGAGCATTACAACTTTCAAAACAGCATAAGGACAATGTGTTTTCAAAGGGTTTTTAGTAAAAAAGAAGTGATTATCTTTACATTTGGCTGATTTAAGGAGCTTCAACGCGAAACAAGTAGATGAGTCTGCTTTACTGTTTTTGAATAAATTTTTCTTAATTCTTTCATCTTTTGATATTTTTTGCTTAATAAAGTCATAAGGATACAAAAATCAGGGGAAATAAAAACATGGGTTGCCTACTGCTTCATTCATTGCTTTTTTAAGTAAAAAAAAAAAAAGATAAAAATTTGAGTCACAGTTATGAAAACATCATGGAAAGTTTTATTCCTTCTGATCATAAATTGTTCTAAAAATACATGAAAAATTCTTTCTTGACTAATTTTCCTTTGAAAACAGGTTTTAAATTGATCGGAATAAGACACACTTTACTAAAACAGTAATTCAATTTTCACATAAATACTCTATATTTTAAAATAAGCAGAAATTTGAACTAAAGATCTTTTAGCCTTTAATCTAGAGATGCTTGCTGTTGTAGTCTAGCATGCAGTCAAATAACTATTTTTTATAGGTGGGGTTGTTCAAACTTCTTTTGTATCTTGCCCAAGGGGAGCTAAAGAGTAAAGTGCTTACTATAACAACCAAGCCCAGTGTTGTGAATTTTGATGAACTCTTTGATGTGGTGGAAAATAATGAGAAGTTTTTGAGTCACTGTGACTGGCAGCGTCATGTAGCATTCTTGTAATGCATTGATGCGAACCTCAAAATCTGATTGGAAACTGATTGTTTCCAAAGTAAGAATGAACAGTACTTCGAGATTCATAGCAGGAGCAACTTGATGTTTTGTCACAAGCTTATTTAAAAATCATTTCAAAGTTTTACAAGTAATGTAAATTGTACTTTTCAAACCATAGGAGCGCCATACTTGGAATTACTTGGAACTTGGAAATAAATTTCTCAATTTTAGCATACTAAAATTTTTTGGCAACATATCTACCTTTTAACTAATAAAAATACTGCTGGGCTGGCATTGGTGAAAAGTTCTTTTTGCAATTGATTTCATTATCTTCAATTATGCACGAGTTTTCTCTGTATAAAAGTTTATATAACTTTTTTGAATGACAAATTGGTTTAATTTCTCCATAAATGGATTGCTTTGGAGTTTTCTTTTTATGATATGCTTTATATTTTTGAGATCCAATTTCTTAAGATACAAGTACTTAAATCTCAAGCATATAAAGAGCAATATCTCTCTGCGACTTTTATTTATGGAGAGAATGATAGATTTTGCTTTGAATTTCTTTTTAAATCCTTTCTTTTTTCAAAAAAATCCAACTGAGGATTCAAAAACACCAATCATTTTTAAATATAAAATTTTCACAATAAAAGACTTTAAAAACAATTTCTAAAACTTTTTTTTGTTTTAATATTTGTTTACTCATTTTAATTTGATAACAATAATAACGGTTATCATTGGTTATTAACCAATGATAACCAATTAACCAATACTTATTACCAATCAAACAACAATGCTCAGTTAAATAAAGTTTTTAACAAATAAAAACTTTTTTAATATATGCCAAATGAGTTCAATAATTTTTCTAGCTTTACAAGATTGGTTTAAGACTTGAAGAATTGCATGAAAGTTTATATGGAATGTTAGAAAAGTTAGTATTTCAATTTCTTCATTTTTAATATTTTTTCTGCATGTCTATAACGAAGACTTCTACAATAAAGACATTAAAATAATCATAATAAAATCGTTCTGAATAATTTTGTATATTATATAAAATATCAAAATATTTTTCTTATATTAAGTAGTTATAAATATCAAAATATTCTCTTATATTAAGTAGTTTATTATTTTGATTTAAAAAATATATATTTTATCTTTTTAAATATTTTACCTATATGTTATATATTTTCTGATAAAATTTTTAACTTTATATATATCTCTTAGGATTGATTCAGGTTTATAAAATTATTTCAATATACTTACATCACCCAACAAAATTTGCATAATATTGTGTGTTTTAGTTTTTTCATGTAAATTATTTTGTTACAGAAACATGTTTTTTTTTTCATTTTATGTCAAGTAGTTATTTAATGTTTATATATTTGGTTTCCAAAAGAAGGATAAAAATCAAGTAATGAATCTTAATTAACAATAGAAACAATAATTTCAGTTATAGTGAACTTGAATTTTTGAGCTGCATTGGCTTCAAATCAACAACTCAGGCTTAAATAATTTCATTATTTAATAAAATAATTTCAGAGCATCAGACTACAATAGGAAATCTTGTTAGCTCTGATTTACAGAAAGAAAAAACCTTCCTGTAAATTTAGTATTTTATTGGTTTTACAAAAAAAAATTTGAAAATCTTTTTAACTAGTGTTAAAAGACAAATTGCATGATTTTGAAAACATATGATAAATATCAAGAACCATCATGTTTCTTAGATTCTTAAAGGTTTAGCATAAGTAAAATGATTTTCTAAATAAGTAATTTGTATTACATGTTACTGTATATTTGAGTTATTGAGATATTTAAGATTTGTTTGTACTATGTTTGTTCTACCTTAAACAATTTTACCATAACATAAGTAACTTTTTGCATTAGAGCTGTCTGTGTCAGTATCTTATGCAAGATTAAACATGATAACTAGTGTGTAGAGAATTGCATGCTAAAAATTTTTATTTTATTTTTTATATATATTAAATATTTTAAATGTTACCTGTAATGATAAGTTGATTTTAGAAATGGGAAAGGAGCATCTGCAATAAATGGGGACGAAAAAGTTAAAGAGAAATTAAATGTGGTATGTATGTAATAATCTATAGTCTTGCTGAAATTATGAAGTTTGTACTTCACCCCAGTTTTTACCCAGTGTGTACCCAGGTTTTGGACCTCCTAAATAGGAGTGAGCTTATTTTTACATCAATTTTTTTTTAACTGCTTATTTGTTTGTTTAGTTAAAACATTCTATGTTTAAAAGGTATTTAATATGAGGTTTATAAACTAACCTATGAATTTTTATTGTTTAAAAAAAATCATGTTACAATGGCAAAGCTCTTGCTTACAAAGCAGGAGCTCTGCAGTTAGAGCTCAAGAGTTCAAGTTGTGTCCTGCAGCCCTTGGAGTTGGGGTCTTCAAGCACATAAAGTGTTTGAGGTCAGCAAAAAAAAACAGAACTCATTTCTATGTTTTATGGTAAGACCTTGGTATTAAATTTTTTTTACCAACCTGATGCCGACTAAATTATTGAGTTTAGCAAATTATTGCAGAGTGTTGGTCCTGGTTGTACTGCCTATCTTGTTTCTCCATACTGTTTAAGGCCATACTGTTTCTTTAAGGCTTGTGTATTTGAATTGTAGAGTTGAGAGAAGGTTGTTACAACAATTTTAAAAAAATGAGTAGCCTTTTTGACTGTGGTGATGTCTTCCTTAAGCTTGAGGCTATATATATAATATATATATATATATATATATATATATATATATATATATATATATATATATATATATATATATATGCGGTAGTGGTGTAGTGGTAGAGTGCTCGCTTCATAAACGAGTGCTTACGAGTTTGATTCCCACCACGTCCCTGGTAGTACCGCGCTCAACTTGTTTCTCCGCGCAGCGGCCTCGTTTGTCAAGGTTCGTGTTGTAGCCTCCTCGTCTGTAGTGGCATTCTCGGCCTTGAGGAGGTGAGTTAAAATAAATATATATATATATATATATATATATATAAATATATATATATATATATATATATATATATATATATATGTATATATATGTATGTATATATATATATATATATATATATATATATATATATATATATATATATATTTATATATATATATATATATATATATATATATATATATATATATATATATATATATATATATACAGGGCTTGTGACGAATAAAATTGTCAAGCGTGTTATATCGCGCTCGTAAAATTAAAATATGTTTTCATCTAGCGTGATTATGTGCGCTTGAGATAACGTCGACGAGCGCGATCATGAAAATTGCTGAAGAAGATCTTTTTTTATTTGTTACATCATTCTTTTGTCGACAAATGTTATAATTAGTATCACACTCATGAAATAACACTCTTGTATATTGTCAGATCGTGATTTTTTTTTAACTATTTATGTTATAAAAAAAAAAAAATCAAACAAAAACGCAACTTCTTGTTGATTTAGTATTGAAGTATAATTTTTATTTTTTATAAGAAACCAATCAAACGGTTAGTACTAAAAAGTTTCTAATTTTGAGCATACTTTTTTCTAAATCTAGTAGTAAAAGTTTAAAAGTTTCTTTAATTTCAAGTTTTTATTCCTAATCAAATTCAATTCAATTCGATTGTGCGTGGAAATTAAATTCTCACCGTAACTGTTGTTCTTCATCGTAGATAATATTAACTTCGATGAGATACTTAGGTGAAAAATGAGCAAATATTCATCAAACTTATAAATAAGTTTCTTATTGAAAAGTTACTTAATACTAAAAATTTCTTAAAATTTTAAGGCTCCTAGTACTAGTTTCTTATTAAAAAAAACGTGTAATTTTTTCTAACTTTTTTTAATGTTACAGTTGAATGAATAATAAAAAAGAGTTAACAAACTTTAATTAATGCAACGTTAGTTATAAATGTTAGTTTCATCTGTGTCATTAAAAAAAGAACTTTGAAAAAAAAAAAGAACGCTGTTGTTCAAAAAATAGTTTGTTCTTAGTTTAATCAAGTTTTTTTAGGTTTAATTTTTTTCTTTTGTTGACAAACTTTTTTTAGGTTATTATTTTTTTTATTTTTCTTATAGTTTAGTTTAATTTTTTCAGCACATTTTAAAATAATTAAATATCAACATTTAACATAAACATCATCAAGCATTTGCAAATGTGTAAATGCTTAATAGCCAAATCATCAAAACAAAATATGAAGCGCCTCACAGGAAAAGGTAAGAAGTGAAAAAAAGTTAATGAGTGAAAAAAAGTTAACGAGATAATGATCCGTAAAGAACGTAATCTCTATATTTTATTATCTTTGAAATCTTTATTGTTAAGATAATAATTTATTAGTTACCTTTGAGGATTTTGTATTTTGTATTCCATCGGTTGACGGGACACATCGCTCATTTGAGGGTTTCTCGCTTTCACACCTTATTGCAGTAAGGTGAGAAGCTGATTCCAAATGTCTTTGAATTGTGTGGATCGACACAAAGTTTGTCCCATCAATAAACCGTAAAGCATATTGTCGTATCAAACTTTTACAACCTTGTAATACCGCTTCTCTATTTCTTGTACAAACTTTGCAGTAAATTTCAACAACATATGTAGTTCCGCTGGTAACTTCAGTTCTAAAGCCTCTTGAACTTTCCATTTGATAAATGTTGACAACATTACTTTGTTTCCTTTTGGAATGTCATTGATTGCGGACATTCCAAACAACAGAATCGTTTTAAATTTGAGTTAAAATAAATAATAGTTAATAAAAAACCTATACTATAAACAAAAACTAATTTAAAAAATTACTGAATCATTATTATTTATTTTTATTTTAAACGATGTATGGAATATTACAAACAATAAATCAAATAAATCTTACTTGATGTTTTCACAAGATTAAAAATATTCTGCAGTTTTAATTTTCTTATAATGGTTTTCTAATTTTTTATTATTTTATTTGTGCATTTTTGTATTTGCATTGAATTTCTACATGCACATTCCATCAATGAAATTAGTGCCTATTAACGACTTCAAACTGCTCATTCATTAGGTTAGTGCACAACAGAACGATGTAGTGCTTTTTTTATTTTATATTATATCAGTGCTTCGATAATATAAAATCTTTATTAAAAAATCTTTTTTTCATATTTTATGAAAATAAAAAAAAAAGTTATTATTTGTTTTGCTCCGAACTCTTGGACGAGCGTTATTTTATACGCTCATTATAAGCTGAACAAGCGTTGTTTGTCGCGCCTGAAACGTTTTAAAATACCATTTAGGGGCGCGTTTCACAAGCGGAGCGCGATCGCTCTCGATTCATCACAAGCCCTGTATATATATATATATATATATATATATATATATATATATATATATATATATATATATATATATATATGTATGTATGTATATATATATATATATATATATATATATATATATATATATATATATATATATATATATATATATATATATATATATATATATATATATATATATAATATTTTTTTCATGTAGCACATTTTAAAAGTTGTTTTGATAGCAATACTTTACCAAAGTTAAACATTTTTTTTTTTGAAAGTATTAAGAGGTCCCTTTTACAACTTTTAACATTTGACGGTTTTTTTATTTATTTATTTTTGTTATAACTTAATGTAATAACATATTTTATGATTCTTTTTTATAATTACATATTCTTTTGCTTCAATTTAAACTAATTAACACATTTTTTCGTTATATTTTAAGTTTAATTAAATTATACTAATAAATTTCTTTATATTAACCAGCAAGGCATCAATTAGTTCAAGAAGTGTTGCAGAAAACTCTGTGCTTGGAGCTGCAGCAAAGCTCCCTAAGTGACAAATCCCAACTTATAAATGTTTATAAAGCATACTGCTGTACTATGTGTCGCTCTAATACAAAATGAGGGTCTAGGCTTAAAAATAAAAAAGCATTTAACATATGGAACTTATTTTTTTACAAGACATCAAAGTTTATGTTTCTATATTTTAAAGAAAATATTCAGTAGCCATTTTAAAATATTAAACCACACTTAATTTAGAAGTTAAAGAACTTAAACACTAGGAACCAATGTGCCTCTCCGCATCCAGTTTTGTTTTTTATACTTAACAAAAAACTTTTAACTAACCAGTTTTTAATAAAACCCACTACAGTTGAATAGATTTTATACAATGTTACTACAGAGGTAGTTAAAATATTATTTTGCTTATAAAAAATCGATTTATTGCAAAAAATTTATAACAAATAAAAAAACTGGCTACCTTTTTTTAAAAATTAGTCAATCTTTATGGACACACAAAAAAATGGTACAAATAATTTTTTTTTTCTTTTTTTGGTTTTTAAGTGAAATTGCATAGTGTATGATTAAACCTAAACTAATGTTCAAAAATGTAAAAATGTTAGCAATTGAAGTAAAAGATATTTATACAAAAGGGAGTAATCCATTTATTGATTTACAGAGTATTGCAGTTTGTATATGAAGACTTAATTCAAAGACACGTAAACTTGAAAAATATCCTAAGTTAAAGGGAGCGTCAGCAATGTTTAATGATACTTATAGTTCTTTTCAAAAACTGTTTGATGTTTGTACATGTAAATGTTATGATGCTGGAAGATGTGAAAGAAAGAACTGATTGCAAATCCCAGTTGGAAAAGAAAATCTATTTTTGAATGCTATTACATGGAATTTTTGGATTGACCAAATAACCATTAGGGAAATAGTGATAGGTGAGATTGACAAAGAAACAACAAAAAAAAATTGAAATAAGACAGAAATATAAACAAGAATATTCATTGAATCTGGGGACAGAAATGACAGCCAGAGAGGAAAGTGAGTCAGAAAGAAAAATGGCATTTGCGACCGGGTAATTCCATGTCAAATCAGCAGGAAAAAAAAAGTCACCTCATGTTTTGGATTTTGCTAATTTTTTTATATGTTATAGGGTTTATATAAATTTGGAAAATCTGAAATTTGGAACCTCTAACTCATTGCGCTTCTTTTTTATGCTGACTTTTTTGTTGTTAAATAGCAATATTTAAAGAACCAAATGAGGTTTTCA